GTTAGGAGTTGTTTCAAAGGCCTTTTTCTGCACATCACCTGCACTGGAAAGTTACTTTCCATGCTGATGTGGAAGGCTGCATGTGTCCAGCCGCTTCCCAGGTTGGACCGGGAGCCAGTTGACTGGCTGGGCTCAGAACTTGGGGTACTCGAGCCATGTCTCGGGGAACCTGGAGGACGTTGGGATGCTTGCTGAAGGTTCTGGAAGGGAAAGACCAGTAATGACTGGGGCCAGCTTTCCTGAAAGAACACCTGTGCCCGTAACGTCAGCAGCCTGAAGCTACAGGGAGTGTTGGGAATGTCTGGGGGAAGCTGTGAAGAGGAAGGGTTCTGGTGCGAGCCAGAGGGGTCTTGAACAAGGTGGGTGACCGACCACTTCACTCCCCATCTCAAATGCTGGGCTGTTCATGGAGGCCAGGTTACCCTGATCAGAGGAAGACCCTGAGGTGCCCCGTCATGGAAAGTGAGGCAAGTGGTGTCTGGACAGATGTGGTTACCTGGCTATGAAGAGCTCTCCCAGGGCATCCCACCAGGGGCCGGCTCTGCGGTCTGTTCTGTACTAGGTGGGAAATCTCCCCCATGCCCCCAGCTTTTAATATTTAATTGTGCTGCTAGTTTGTGGTTGAGTGTATTCTCTGTTGCAGTTCTCCATGGTTTTTGTATATTTTGCTGTTTATTATTTTTAGTGATGTGACCTGTCTTAGAATATACCGAACGGTTGCATCTACATTGATTGAACTCCTGTACCCGGTGTCTTGGTAGGAAGGCCCAAGAAAATTCTGCGCAGGCATGCATATGCAAATAATAAACAAATGTCAGCCAGTCCTTTTTAGTGTTTTGAAGGCATTTGCTTTATTCAAACAGTACAAAGTGTAATTGAATCTAACATCAACAGGATTGCAAGTGCAAATTAACTGTTCTTGTGAAGTAAGGACCATTGTGTTGCATTATTAGAACTTCAGTTCGTGAAACAGGTTTTCTCTCGGCCTTTCATAATGGAAGAATAGATCACATGAGTTCTGTGCTTATGTTGGTTTTTAAAAAGAATTTACATGAGAAGGTGCAGTTAGCTGGAGTTGCTCTGTTTAAATCAAGTCAGTTCTCCAAGTGTCATCAGCAACAGTGGCTCTTTGCAATAGCTGGCAATGTTTGGCTGTACTCCTGGCTGTGCTTGCAGTCATGCGACCCATTCAGATTAAAATACAAATCACAAAGAACAGAAGGGGAGGGGGAGAGAAACCATTCAGTTGATCTGATTTAGCTAATGATGTCAAATGTTGAACACTTCACAATTAAGTGCTTAACGATTAAAAAGACATACTTGGGGCAATCATGTTGTTGCCCCCTTGATTGCTTATTATCCTCAAACTCAGGGGCTTTGAGATCTGATTTGGAGTGGGCAACTGCTCTGCTCCGTACCTCCCATTCTGCATTTGCAAGGCTACTGTTTTGAGCCATCTCACAGAGGCACTTTGGGGGGGGGGGAGACTGGAGTGCCATCAGGATCCATTGCTCCCTGGCACCCCAATCTCCTCCTCCTCTGTCCCCCAGAACGTCCCTTTACCCCCTCTCTGAGTTTGAGCCCCCACCTGAGAGGAGCAGCCGGCATGCTGGGTTCTTTCCATTTCAACCATGAGCAGGGAGCACTGGGAGCTCAGGGCTCGGGTCAGCGCTCTCACACGGACCTCAGGTCCAGGACCCTTTTTATCCTATGGCCTTCTAGTCCATGTCTGGAGGCCACAGGATGGCTTCCTTCATTATTCATGCACTAATACAGAAGAAATGATAAAGGACACAGTGTGGGAATTCTGGGAACTCCTGCTGCGTGTGGAAACAAAATTGAAGCGCAATGCTCAGACTTCTTCCTTCAAGTACCTCTGCAGGTAGGACATTAACCTCTTCAAGTTGACATGCTTAACAAGCTTGCACTGGATAAGAGGATGGAAAAACCTGGGATTCTTGAACTCATTGAAGGTCGCTGAACTTCAAGACAAACCTTCTTTTGTCTGCCTCCCATTCTTCTCTGCAATCCATTTAAATGGGGGAAGAGCACACTCTTCCCCACACACTAAAGCATAAAAATGCACCTGTTTTGAAAAATGTGTGACATTTTAAAAGTGCACAACACAAAATGTATGATTTAATGTGTAAATTTTATGATGATGCACTGTACCCCATTAAAGCATGAAAATGTCAATATAGAGAAGCATGCCTTTAGAAATGCTCTCTTTTGAAAATGCGCAATTTAACTTGTGCATTTTAAATTGCACATTGTTTGCATACAAATGCAAGTTTGGAGAGTTATTTATTCATATGGTCTCTGTAAGTCAGAGATGACTTGACAGGCCAGAGCAACAACAAAAAGTACCCTAACTGGGTAGAATTCCATGAATCATGATTACCCAAAGGATGCAGCTGTTTTATTTTGCTAAAATGCATGTGTTTTCACTAATATTGTAAATGTTTGTTGCTGCTTATACAGCAGAAATGCCAACTTGCCACTGACCTTAAGCAGAAAGTTTAGAGGAGCTAATCTACAAAGCATTCTATCCCAAACTGGTGCTCTCCAAATATATTGGACTACAACTCCCATCATGTAATACATCTGGAAGGCACCAGGTTTGTGCCCACAAGCCCTGATAAGAAAATGTGGTGCAAATCTGCTGTCCTTCACATCTGATGTCACAGAAAGATGCAAATTGTCCCATTTTTATCACTGCTCTGTGTCATGCTACATGGAACAAGTTATCTGGTAAAGAGAAGCCAACCAGTTTCATAGCTGTTTGAGAGATACCTTCATATCAAGAGAGGCTCATCGCCTTTCAGTCTGCATGAACATTTGATTAATGCACATTTGAATTAGGTAATTTCCGCTATAAGGAAAGTGTCACAAAAGAAGTTTCCAATTTGCAATTTAGCGTCAGAAATTGAAAAGAGGAGTGGAGGGGAAAGGTGCATTTTTAAGAGAAAATGACAAAACCAAAGTGGTTGATCACAGAGGAAACAGAGTTTTTTAAAAAAAGAAGTGGGGATAGCGAGAAGGCCAAAGAAAGTGAAAGATGAGGAAAAGGTGACATAGATTAATAGCAGCAAAGCACCAAAGAAGGCATGAAAGGGAGAAATCCCGCAGCTAAAAGCAACAGGGAGAAAAAGAGCCCTTTAGAAATGAAATGGTGGATAAACAGATAATAAGGAAATTGTTCAGGCAACATTCCTGGATTCAGAATGCTATTTACCTCCTCCAAGCTGCTGCTCTTTGCAGAAAATAATGATGATGATTTTGTGTCTTGGCTTTAAAAATACATACAAGAACTCCATATCACACCTATTTTGAATTCTAAGGAGATTCTGCAGCAACCCTATACAACATTTCCCAATTTCTTCTCCTGATTCTGCAGGCAAACTGATACTTTGATTCAATATTAAATGCAGAGAAGATAGAAAAGACCTTTCCACTCATTGGCTTGGGATGTTGCAGGAAAAATTGACAAGCTTCTCCATGTCACTGCAAAGCCTCAGGAAGGTGTTGCCTGCTCCCTTGTGGATCTACCAGTTGAGGTCCTGGCCACCCCAGCCATATTCTCCTTTCCTCTTCCCTACATCAGTGGCGGCAGCAGCAACAGAAAGAGGCACGAGGAGAGAATGTCTGGCGGTTTGCTTTGCCTTCCCTGGGCTTCCCTGTCATCCTGGCTAGCCAAGTGGCAGGTTAAGCTCTTGGAGATCTATTCCTTTCCATTGCAGGAGTCCTTGGAGGGAATGCTGCTCCACTAGATCCCTGCACCTCTCGGAGTGTAAGCAAAGGCAACATGGGGGGTGGAGGGAAGGAGGAGGAGGAGGAGGAGGCTCAGGAAGGTGTTTCCGGGAACAGCAGCTGCAAGGAGGAGGCAGAACTAGTCCCTGCCCTTCACAAATGAGTCCCTGTTCTTCCCATCTCGGTTCCTGTGCCCTGCCCACAGAATCCCCGGGAAGTCCTTCTACCCTCTGGCTTGGAAGACAGAGCCTCAGGCTCCTTCAGTGACTAGAGAGACCCTGGTTTGGGATGTATGAGAGGGTTGTTTGTGCTGCCCTGTTCAATGCCCTGGTTGTGGGAGCAAGCACACATCCACTGAAAATACCTGAAAATCGTCAGCGTGCGTTCATATCTCTCCAGGTTCCCAGTTTGATGTGCAAAAGTGTGCTAATTGGTTCAAATGTCCTCAGTAGACTGAATCTTTATGGAGCAAAGGCATGCCGAACTTGGTGCCCCTTTTGGGAGAGTTGCGCAAATTTCCCATTTGATGGCTGCTTGATTTGCACAAATCAGTTTAGGCATGAAATGGAAGCGAAGGCAATGCTTGGAGAATTGTGGCTATCTTGATTATCACTCAATCACCCACCTCTGGAGTATTTCCCAGCCAGATCCACATCCTGCAAACCTTTACCCTCCAAAGAAGCCGCAACTATGGGCAAAAGTGTTTTAAAAGCCAGGTGCATCCCTTCAGGTGAATCTCCCATAAGTTTTCTTCTGGCCAGGCTATAAACCCCTGTTAGTTGCTTTAGGCCAGGGATAGAGTAGCTTGAAAGATCTGGAAACCTACTATTTAAATCAAAAATGAACTGGTGGCCTGTAGGCCACATTCACTCTAGCTCTTTTTTAAACAAAATCTCCAGGAAACAGCCTTCAGGCCAAACTGCAAACATGAGGGCTAAATTAATTTTCCGGTAAGGAAACTGCAAAGGGGAAAGTGGGGCTGAGCTTTCCGCATGCACCCTGGCTGGAGAAAGACAGCAGTAACTGGAAGAATCCGGGGCTGAGTTTTACCAGTGTCTTCTCCACCACCATTCGAGAAATGCTAAAAGTAACCCAGATTTCCCCAGTCACATGATACATGTGGGTGATTTTTCCTAACCTTTGTGAAATGTCCAAGTATGACAAGAGTAACAATCTTGAGATAATGAAAACTGTGCACAGGTTGTGTTCCCCACTTCTCTTCTTGTCTGTTTGTCTTTTATTTCTTTCAGAGATTGACCAAGGGAGTTGCGGAGATCCAGGTGTGCCGGCCTATGGCAAAAGAGAAGGCTCAACCTTTCACCACGGGGACTCACTGACGTTTGAATGCCAGCCTGCATTTGAACTGAAAGGACAGAAAACAATCACTTGTCAAAAGAGTAGCCAGTGGTCTTCTCAGAAACCAATCTGTGTTTGTAAGTCAGAGAGAAGATGGCCTTGAGCCATTAAGAAGGGTCTTGAGTCATTGAGAAAAAGCTGTCCACCCTGTGCTTTTTGACAATGAATTATTACCTAGAAGATTGGGGACAGAGTGACTGTGTTTTGTTTTGCTAAACATACAATTCCTCTGAAAACATTTTGGAAGGGACAGGAGAAAGAAATGGGCCTACACATGGCATATTCAACAAGATAGTTGAGTAAACATTGCATTCAGGAGTAAAGGTGGGAGTGAAATTAATTCAGTTTGCCCTTTAATGCAATTTTACACTTGTGAACAACTTTGTGAACCCATGTTCTGTTCTCCTTCCAAATTCACGCCTTTCCAAAGTTTTCAATTGAGTTCTCCAATCAAGAAATGTGTACAAAGATGCATATTTGGGAAGAGGAGGTTCAAGATTCTAAGAAATACTCTTGCTTCCTATAGTTTGCATCTTTTTCAAGTGTGAGTTCATTTCCTCTGGTTTGCGTATCAAATATTGAAACACAAAGCAAGTCTGCATAAAATGTGCTTACATCTCTGTACACCATTTCCCTAGGTGCCTTTTGTCTGGAGAACTATCCATGTGTCTTTTGATTGGAGCCCGGCATTGCGGAAGCAGAAGCTGCATGAAAATGGGGGAATAATTGCATTCTGGTTTAGGGATTAGCTTAGCAAGTGCATATTTGGTCATCCCATGTTAAAATGAAAACCAAACATATTCGCCCCCAGCACAAATTATATCTCCCCCTGGTTACTAATTGCACCCCCATTTTCCAACCCTTAGGCAATTAGCTACTAAGTACAAATATCAGATATGCTAAGGTAACTTGCTATAACCAACCTCCACCTTCATGCTCCTTTCTTTTCACTGCTCTTTGCTGTGGCGAATGCTGTAGAACCCTTGGCCACTAGAGGCTGGATTATAGGAAGCTTCTCCTGATGTGACAAATGTCATGAGTAGCCACTTTCCTTCACTGCCCCACATTTCACGGATGAATGTGTATTGTTTAGAGCCAGGGGAGAGTGGGCTTTGTGAATTAAATCCAAACTCCTCTAGAGCTAAGAGGAGTCTTCTAATATTTTAGCTCTATTGGATCATGATCAGGCTGGTAACATGGTGGGTCTGGGTGAGTAAGTAACAAGTTCACTTCCTCAATGAGTAGGGATCAGGAATCAGAGCAAAATGTATCTGTGCGTGCACAAAAAATCCATCCCATCAGACCCTGCTGTTGATTTTGTATTGTACAAGTTGAAACTTGCAAAGTTGGTGTTCAGATCAGCACCAACCCAGATTGTGTGTGTGAGTTTCCTGTTGATCAATGGTTGTGTTTCAGCAGGAGCAAGACGTAGACCTGGACGGGATGAATGGGGGAGATCTGAAGAAATGGGGAAAGAGTATTAAATGTATCAAGTGCCCCAAAAGGCATTTATCAGCATTGAGGCATGGGAAAAGATCCCATTTCAGACTTTTCTGTTTCAGCAGAATTTCTACTCTCTGAATGCCTTTGGAAAGTTTATGCTTCACCCTGATGATGTTTGTTCCGCAGATTTCCAAGGGGTCATAGGCGGGGTTGTGACTTGCCTCAGGGTGGCCACAGATGAGACGTTTAGGGGGTAGGGGAATGGGGAGTCCTTCCCTGACTTGCCACGAGCTCTCATCTCCTGTGGGGGTGTGGCAAGGAGGCCACCCCTTTCAGGGAGGTCAGAAGGGCGGCTTAAAGCATGTGACTGGCTTCAAGCCAGGGGGCCACCCACCATCTTGAAGCTTGTGTTGGGGGTGTTCTATGCCAAGCAGGTGGCAAGAGTGAAGAGGGGGAGCAATTCCAGGTGCCCACCTCTGTCCTTGCTTCAGACTAGTCCTGAGGGTCTCAAAAGCTGCGCTTTACAGGAGAGCAATCCAGGCTTCTGGGTGACCCAAATGGCAGAGGCCAGGCCTGGGCGATAGCTTGGCTCCTTGGCCCTGGGGGGGAGGGGGCCAGGTTTCACGCTGGATGTGAACTCAAGCACTGGTCTGCCTCCTTCCCAGTGGCACATGCTTCTCAGCTGAACTGCCGCTCCCACGGGTGGCTGAAAGGGTCATGGGTGTCCTTGTTATTTTTATTTCTTTGTTTTAGCTCCCTTCATTCCCACTTCCTAACTCCAAAACTGCAAGGGACACTTCGGCTGAAAGGCACAATGGCAGAGTGAGGAGATGCGTGGAAAGTCTGGGCATTTCGGGGGGCGGGGCGTGATCCCCACTGGTGGTCTCGTAAGCAGGGCTCCCCACACTGACCATGCTTGAACACCAAGTCTTCTCGTAGTACCACTCACTCTTAGTGACGGCCAGCAATGTCCGCATCCTGGCAGGACAGGGAAGGCATGACCCGGGCGGTCTGCTCTCGGCCGTGTGACAGACCACAGCTGACACCTGGCCGTGTACTTGCCAGGAGCAGGCATTGTGGCATTAATCTGAGACAGGCATGTGAGTGTTCCAACCAGTAAGACTAACAATCCCTTTAACGTCTTTTCTGTTGTTTGGGTGGTGGCCTGCTTGTAGATCCCCGGCGTATGTGTCGCTTATTAATGTGGGAGCGCGTAAGTGTATGGGCTGTTATGAATTTGAAATGAGGCCTTTGTGATTTGATTATAGGTTTTGCAGCTTCCTGTTCTGTGAATTGATGTTTCCCCATAACATAACATGGCTTTGCTCTTAACCTCAGAGAGGTTCCTTTTTGCTCTTTTGGGTCGGGGGCCCTGCAAACTGGAGTGCATGTTTCCAGCTGTTCCCCATCTTTGCTTTCCAGGAATACTTCTAGTTCTGTGTGGGGCTCAGAGGCATCCTTCTTCTTCTTCTTCATTTATTTATTTATTTACTTATTTAAATGTAAATCTTGTGCAACCAAAATGGCAGCTGCAAATCTTGCTGTACTTTGAAGCAATCACACCACTGGGAGGATTCAGAAGGGGGAGAAAGTGTCTGAGGAGGCATCTGGGGGTGCCCCAGTACTTGGGAACATGTGATGGTCAGTGCTATAGAAGAACCCTGTGCTATATAGAAAAATGTGTGGCATTTCTGAAGGCAGAAGTGATAACCTTTGTATGTGTATAAGAGAAGTTGATGCGATATTATCTTGCCCCCCCTCCAAAAAAAAAGAGGTTAAAAATGGGCTTGTGAAGGTGTTCTGTTGGTGGGAGTGGGATCTTCCAAAGGCTATTAGGGGACAGGAACATCCTATTTTGCATTGATTCTCTCAGCCCTTATAACAAAATTCAGAATATGTTCACATGGCATTGTTGGTATCAGTACAAGGATGAGAGAACCCATTGCAGAGGTTACTCCACCTTGTGGTTAGAGTGGGAGCCTGAAGTGATGAGCAAGTTGCCTGGCATATTGCCTAGAGCCAGATCTCCCCAAAGCTTGTGCGCCTTCTGCCCCGGCTGTGACTTGCATGACCCAAGGGGTGTGGTGCCAAAGCCAATGCAGTCGCACACAGGCTTCCCATGTTCCACTTGCAGATCCTGTCTGGCAATGCGAGCGTCCCCAGTCACAGCTGTCCCATCCCTTGCTGCTCCAGGAAAGTGAATGTTGGGCACACGATGTTTACCTTGAAGGACCGGAGATGCACTTCCATTGGCGTGCCACTGCCTTTGCATGAGGAATGTCTCTGCCAACATCTGCCTGGGCCTACTGGGAGTGTCCATATCCATCCCGTCCATTAGTGCATCTTTCCATCCTGCATTTCATCATTTCCACGCCTGCTGGTGTGCCCATTGTGCAGATTTATTGTTCCATCAGTCATGTTGACCCCTTCAAACTCTGGAATGGAAACCTTCCACCCTCCTCTTTGGGCATTCTGGGTAGTAGTGATGGTGGTGAGAGAAGCAGTAAGAAGGGAAGAAAAGGTAGGAATCCATACCCATTCCCAACTGTACCTCTAGGGGTCAGCAACTGTCTTCATTGGTGGCTTCCAAATTTCAGATGCACAAACATCTATTGGGGTTGAGAAGGCCTCTAATGCAGGGGTCCTCAAACTTTTTCAATAGGGGGCCAGTTGAAAGGCAGCAGCAATCAGGACAGGCCGGTGAGATGGGAGTGCTTGGGCGTGTGGGCCGGTGAGGCGGCGTCGGGCGCGCGCAGGGGCAGCTCGCTCGCTCGGAGATCTTCCAAGTCCAAAACCATCTCCAAGTGAACAAGTCACTGCCTCCCCACTCACGCGGTGGCATGTGCCGGATAAATGGGCATGGCGGGCCGGATCCAACCCACGGGCCGTAGTTTGAGGACCCATGTTCTAATGGGTTCTCCTAACCCAAAATTCACGCTTCCCAAACTGGGATTTCATGCAAGAGACTTGAGCATTGACTATGCTGACGATGCAACAAGCTGCTTTCTCCCTGAAAAGGCAATAGCTTGTCTTATTTCTCAAACAATCTAGATTCAAGAAACCCTCCCACCCCAGCCTGAGCCCTGACCCTGAGCCCCTTTCTTTTCCTCCAACCATTTCCACCCCACTGATTCCTGGTCCTCAAAGCCCCCTTCCCTTCCTTTGAAATTACACTTAAGTTGTGGCATCACCAAAAAAGGTAGGGGAAGGACTAGGACAAGGACAGGAGGAAACCGATTTACATGAGACTTGTGTTACTGCAATTCATATAGAAATATATTACTTCTGCTCATAGTATTTGGGACTGTGACTAGGGGACTTGTGTACCTGACAGCTTAGTCCATTATCTAAATGAGAAATCCCAGGCCCCTGGTTTCGCTTCCCATGCTGCTTTATTGTAAAATAGGCTTACTTGAATTCTTTATCAAGTTCCTTTGAGAGAGGTGTTTATTCCCACACTACGAATGATGCACTGTTTCTCCATTCCACAAATCTGCTAGATTTGAAATGGGGAAATGCCTTTGGTGAACGCCTGTCTTCTGCATTTTACCTGCATGGGATTCCTAGTTTTGCCAATGTTATTTTTAAACCGCACTGTTGATTTATGTGTGTATTTCCCAGCCTCTTGGACAGG